GCCAGTTTGTTGGTAAGCAGCATGTTCTATCCTAAGGCCTTTGAGCAACTGGGTTCCTAGATCTGGATCTGTCCCTACTGCCTGGTGAAAAGCTTTTGTATCACCACTGACACTTTCTCACATATGTGAGGTTGCTGATAAGTGCCCATATTCTCTACAGTGACAGAGAAATGATGAGTAGTCCAAGCCAGATACTGAGCTCGGCCCCACAAGCATACCCCATTTGGAGATGAAGATGGGGCCCCTCCAAACAAGTCTGAGACAATATATTAAGTCACTGATTCCTGGGTAGCATTGACTGCTACACCTTTTCTGGCAAAGATCAGTATCACGTATATGTTAATATTGGTACCCAAAGATATTTATGTTCTAATCTCTAGAACCTGTGAATATGCCGCCTTACATGGCAAAAGGACTCTGCATATATGATTAAATTTAGGATTTTGAGATGTGGGATTACCTCGGACTATCAGGTAGACCTAACGTAATCACAAGCGTTCCTGCACAGATGCAGGAGTGTCTCAGTAAGAAGAGATGTGACGACAGAAGCAAAGTCGGAATGATGCAGGCCATGAGCCAAGGAATGCAGGCAGTCTTTAGAAGCTGGAAAAGGCCAGGAAACAGTTACTCCCCTAGAGCTGTCAGAAAGAACATGGTGCTACCACCCCATTTTATATTTCTTATCTCTAGATCTATATATATATTTTTCATTTTAAGCCATTAAGTTTGCGGTAATTCGTTATAGCAGTAATAGGAAACAAACATACCAAGAGTCTGCAGGGAAAACATAACTTGGGTAACTGAAAATTTGGAAGTTCCTTCAGCCTCTCATATAGTCTAAGTTTTTCTAAGTGGATTACATGGAGCCGGTCTCATCCACTTGCTTAGTTGAGGCTGGTTTGTCATTCTCAATTCAATCACACCTACTGTTCTTTGAAATAATAGTTTCTATAATAATAATACATGCTAGGTGATTTTTTTCTCCTTCCTTACACGTTGATATACGATTTGGTGGAAGGTTAAAATTTAACATAAATTCCAAATGATTCTCCACATTATCAAACTTGCATACTTTCCAAATGCAGTGCTACAGAGACTTTGAAGAGGCTCTGACATTATCAGCAATCTTCTGAATGCAAGGATACCCAGCCAGAACAGCAGAGGGGAATTTTTTGGAAGGTTAACAAATATCTCACAGAACAGGAGCAAAGGCTTAAAAGCCAAGCCTTGGAAGGCGGGACTAGGGCAGGAATCAGAGCCAAAGATAGAGTCAGGACAATCACATTAATACAATGTCAATGTCTCCCTCCCTCCAGCCTTCTTTTCTCTTTTTCTGTCTCTGATTTAGTCTTTTTCTCTTCTCAGTTTTTTCTCTCTTTTTCTGTCTCTTGCTCTGTCTCTATTTTCTCTCTCTTAACATACAGCCTTCTTTCTGAACATCAGTTTTGTGCTCCCTTTCAAAAGGCAGGAGATCTTCTATACAAGCAGACACAGCAGCTAGCAATAGCTCTTGCTCTTTCAGGTTCACAGAAGGAAGAAAGCTTTCCCCAGGGAAACACACTGATTGGCCAGGCTAGAGTCATGTGCCAAGGCTGTGGGATTGTGCAAGAAAATGGAAGATACTGTTTGGACTCTGTGTTACTTCAGTGAGAAAAGGAAAGGGGTGGTAGGAGGTGGTGGGGGCAATGTTCAAAAGAAGAATATGGAAAGCAGGCTGCAGATAAATGTCCATTTGAGGCTTTCTTTTTTTTTTTTTTTTTTTTTTCCATAAAGTCTTGCTCCTTTGCCTAGACTGGAGTACAGGACATGATCATGGCTTACTGTGGCCTCAAACTCCAGGGCTTTAGCAATCCTCCCACTTCAGCCTTCTGAATAGCTGGGACTACAGGCATGCACCACCAGGCCTGGCTAATTTTTAAATATATTTTTATAGAGATGGTGTCTTGCTCTGTTGCCCAGGCTGGTCTCAAACTCCTGGCCTCATGTGATCCTCCCCCTCTGGCCTCTCAAAGTGCTGGGATTAGAGGCATGAGCCACCATGCTTGGTCACTGGGTATTTTTAAAGACTAGAGTGAACCTATGACTGATGACACAGAACATTGCCTCTCATATAGAAAATGCTTAAGTTTGGGCTCTCAGAAAACATCACACAGTAAGACCATACAAATTTAAAATTTAAATTGCATAGATGTTATAGAAATATTCTAGTGGTTTCTTTGTATCTTCTCAAATTTATAAACATGTAAGTTTGTATATATATATGCACAGAGACATTTGAAATTTTCATTTATAATTCTCATTTGTAAAAGAGATTTATTCAGAAACATTCAAATTCAGCACTACAAAGAAAATTGCTTGTCTAATCTCCTAGGACTTTAGTAACATGAGTTTCCTAAACATGACATAGGTAGATAAACATATTGTAGAACTAAAATTAATAATTGTTGATTTATTCACCAGTTTTATAAATGCTCCTAGATTTAAAACTTCAGTACCACCTGTTTTCTTTGACACACATTCCTGAGACAATTGGTCTGAAAATATTTTAAAATCTGTAGTGGGAAGCAAATAGAGTCAGCCTATTAGGAAGTATTTCCCAGTAGAAATTCTTTGTGGACCTGGTTTAAGAAACAAATCTCATAACTATATATTATCATTTGTATTGTTAGTAAGAGTTAAAATTTTAAAATATATGTTACCTTGAAACATTTAAATAAGCTTCCTTTAACATTGTTTATATCGTTATTTGCCCAGGAAGATTTCTTTTTAATAGACGTTACAGAGAGATGTCTGTATCAAGTTTTATCCAAACAATGTGATTCTATGGGGGCAGTCTTGTTCTGAATTAACAAGCTTCCCATAATCTGATATCTCTGCGTAGGCAGCAATGAAGAAGCTTGAAGCATCAAGGAAGAGCTTGAAATCAACAGCAAGATGAATGAGTGTTACAAAGATCGAATCTTACTTTATACAGATAGGGTTATATATAGTTTCATTTCTTGAAATTACTGAAGGCTCACTGAGCATCACAGAAATACTACTCTGGTTTGGCTGCAGAAATTCTTTCTGGCTTAGAATTGCTTGTATTTTAAGGGAATAGTCCTCTTCTTAAGCCTGGATCTAGGAAAGGGTGCTGTAGAAATGGTAGTTTTGACGTACTGTGACGCCTAAGGTGCTCAGTTTGAGCATGCCATGCCTTTGCCAGTGATAAATGGCAAACACTTACATAACAGTTACTACATGCCAAGCAGGCCTGCAAACAAATTAGACATCCCACAAGTAGTCAGCATAAGCCCAAACACTTAAAATATCTACAAAGTCAGTGATTACACGATTGGCCATTAGCTCAAAATTGATTTTTTTTTTATATGTGAAATACAGGATAGTGAAATATGAGCTGTGCAGTCTGTTTGGTTCCATCATTTACTATCTGGATTCAGAAAAAAATGAGCCTTTTAGAACCTCATTTTCCTCATCTTGAAACTGGAGAGAACATATGCTTACTCCCCTTCCCATGAATAGGGGCCAAGGAAAGTCTGAATGGGATGACCAGAACAGTGGTGCCAGAGCTGAAGTTCAGGCCTTCAGTAGAGACTTTGGCAGAGAGTATCAGCCTTTAGCTGGCCAGCACACCCAGAGGAGTGTAAGTCAGCATCCTTATCAAAGATGGTTACCAAGGTGAGATATACATCTGATGATATCACCTTGATGATATCCCAGGGCTCATCCAAACTTTGGGAAACTGAAACCATCAATTTAGCATTTGCTGATTTTCCTGATCACTATACTTGGGTAAGAAAATTGTAGGAATTCTAAACTTTTGATATAAGCATTAGAGAAAGAGATTGAATTTCTTCATTAACTCAACATACTTTAGGTTACAAGGAAAAGGCTTAGTGGATTTGCTAGCATGCACCTTCTCTAAATCATCTTAGTTATCTAAGATGAATTTACACTAGAATGGGAGAATTCATAAATTGGGGAAATATCCTAGAAGGCCTTTGAAAAGGGGTATTATAGTTTGGTTTGGGGTTCACATTCACTGAGTAACAACAAAAATGACTTCTTTACATTTAGTTATTGTTTTGAAACTATTGCAAATACATTGAAATACAAAAATTGCTCTCCTCCATGGAAACCTGTGTGTTCCTACAATAGTTTTTAATGCATACGAATTCTGTTCATGGCCATTTTGTTTTTATTTGCATTCCAATTTCAATAGTGAGGACAGAGACAACTGTGTAAATAAAATAAAATTAAAAACATTTTAAACTCATAATAGTGAGTACATTTTGATGAAAAATGAAGGAGGTTAGGTATCCTGAAAAAAACTTCCCAGTAAAAACAGAGTGCCGAATGAAATATTGTATACGCCTTTTAAAATGTAAAACTCTTTTATACTCACAAAGAAAGTAGAATGGAAAACTGCAGCTAATTCTTTAGCTACCTTCAGGGAATTTGACAATTTCTATGCCCAGAGTTTTGAGTATTAAAGGTGTAGGTATTAAAAGGGGTAACAAGATGTGGAATTGGACCAGCTTAAAGCTGAGCTCCCTAAAGACCCTTAACCTCAGGAAAAGTTTGCTGTATTATTCTTTATACATTTTTGTATATTTAAATATTGTACAATAAGCTCTAAAAGGCATTAAAAGAGTGGAAAACTACACTTTTGTTCTTGAGGGTCATCTAAACTAATTCTTATTCACTTAGCTAATATTAAAGTGAATTTTTACTTTAAAAATTTAAAAAGTTTTGTTCCAAAATTTTTTTTTGAGTCGGGGTCTTGCTCTGTTGCCCAGGTTGGAGTGCATTGGTGTGATCATAGCTCACTGCAGCCTCAAACTCCTAGGCTCAAGCAATCTAATCCCCCCACCTCAGACTCCTGAATAGCTGGGACTGCAGGTATTTGCCATCACCCTGCCTGGCTACTTTTTTTAGAGATGGTGTCTTGCTATGTTGCCCAGGTTGGTCTCAAACTCCTGGCCTCAACAAATGCTTCTGGCTCAGCCTTCCAAGTAACTACGATGACAAGTGCAAGCCACCATGCCCAGCTACAACCATTTTAAATTTAATAATGTTGACACATAGTGGTATAATCAACACTAGATAATTGGTTCTGAAGGATGAGAGGTATGACATGAATAAGCCCATACACTAGCGATCTAAAAGCAATTTCCATTTTTTGTTGGTTTTACAGTCTGCTTATTCAACCAAAATAAGTGGAGTACAGGGTCTTCTGAGTAATTGAATACATATAATGCATGGGTTGAAGCCACTGCCTACATACCCCAACTTCTCCAGTTTGTACTGCTCTTCCTGGTGCTGATATTCAAGAAGATTCCTTTGGTTTTCCCTTCAAAGAGATAAACCTCACACCAGTGCAGACGGCCCACCCAGGGAGCACACAGGCTCCTAAATGACTAGATTCTAGTTGTAAATGATCTTCCTTGGGTCTGTCATAGGTGGAGACTGGCCTTGGTAGTGAAACCACTTGGCAAAACTGGATGCATCTTTTCAGATTCAGTGTCTCGGAGCATAATCTGAAACAAGTAAAAGTGAGAATCAAAATGTTAGCATTCCTGATGAGATGGAATATAGATTTTTTTTCTTAATAAGAACAACAGCCTTCATTTTGTGCCAAAAATGTTCTAAAACCTTTTTTATCTTGTTTGATCCTTGAAACATTCCAGAAGAAAGATATAACAATTTCTATTTTATAGGTGAGGAAATTGAGGCTCAGAGATATTAAATATGTTGCCAACATATTAAGATGTTGGCAGAATTAGTTGTGGAGCCAGGATTTAGACCAAGGCAGTTCATCTCCCCAAATAAGGTTCTAGGCCTTTTATTTTTTTCAGCCATCAAAGAAGATGGCTTTGCCAGGCCAATAGGGGTATACTGGCTTTTTTTCATCTCAGCTAACCTTGGGGTAAGTGCTAGGGAAATACCTAGCTTATATGAAAAGAATCTTTTTGTCCTGGTTTTGATCTAGTTCCCTGGCAGGCTGGTTAAGACTTGTCTTAACACATACATTTCTCTTGCCAAAGCACACGTGGTGTGTTTGGACATATGGTCTCATTTTTATGATCTTTTAACCTTTACATATTTTAAATATTTCATGGTGGGATTAATTATTTGTGGTGACCAGGATTGGCAGCTGGTCCAATGGGGCCATGTTTGGAATCCCTAAGGAATGAGAGGGTTGATACTCTGTGGAAGATAACTTTTAAAGATAAATATATAAATATGAATATAAAGGAGAAATTTCTGACATACTCATTAATGATCAGAGCCTAGTGATGTCTTATGGTAAATTGGTACATTTACTCTGAGACCTATCACTATAAATGGTTTTGAAATTAGCCTTATTGTGCTTCTAGCCTTTAAAAAATGTATACCTATTGGGTAATCTGAATTGCTTAGAAAGTGACCATCTAACTCATCCTTGCTTTTTATGCTCTGAATGAATAGTTGAACTGGAAGCATTAAAATACTGAAAAGAGTAAGACTGGCTTAAGGACTTCAACTTTATTGAGTCTTAAAAATATGCCTCAGGTAAACTTGATGGTGAGATCTCTAACCTCATAGTATTCAAATAACTTTAATGCAATTTTAACTACAGAATGGGATGGTAAACCAAATTATTATCCATGTTACCCAAAGTAGGCCTCGACAAGGTAGCTAAAATAAAATTAACAACGTTTGTGAAACACCAAGTAGAGTCCAAATCAGAAGAGGTGTGCTCTCCAAAGACCTTATATAATATAGAACTCATATGTAGAGCATATGTTTATCATTGCTTCAACTGATTAACTTCCACAAACCATGTTGGTGGACTCATATGAGTTTGCTTGTAGAAGTAGTAAAGAGTCTAGATTCTGTGGCACAGTTTCCTTAGGTTTGATTCCACTGAATAAGCTTGTGGGCCTAAATCCTGAATATTTGGAAAGCCTTTTTCCCTACCTTATAAACATGGGTTTCACGATATTGATTCTTCCTATCCATGAGCATGGTATGTTCTTCCATTTGTTTGTGTCCTCTTTTATTTCACTGAGCAGTGGTTTGTAATTCTCCTTGAAGAGGTCCTTTACATCCCTTGTCAGTTGGATTCCTAGGTATTTTATTCTCTTTGAAGCAATTGTGAATGGAAGTTCATTCATGATTTGGCTCTCTGTTTGTCTGTTACTGGTGTATAAGAATGCTTATGATTTTTGCACATTAATTTTGTACCCTGACACTTTGCTGAAGTTGCTTATCAGCTTAAGGAGATTTTGGGCTGAGACAATGGGGTTTTCTAAATATACAATCATGCCATCTGCAAAGAGGGACAATTTGACTTCTTCTTTTCCTAACTGAATACCCTTGATTTCTTTCTCTTGCCTGATTGCCCTAGCCAGAACTTCCAACACAATGTTGAATAGGAGTGGTGAGAGAGGGCATCCCTGTCTTGTGCCAGTTTTCAAAGGGAAAAACAAGAAATGGGGAAAGGATTCCCTATTTAATAAATGGTGCTGGGAAAATTGGCTAGCCATAAGTAGAAAGCTGAAACTGGATCCTTTCCTTACTCCTTATACGAAAATTAATTCAAGATGGATTAGAGACTTAAATGTTAGACCTAATACCATAAAAATCCTAGAGGAAAACCTAGGTAGTACCATTCAGGACATAGGCATGGGCAAAGACTTCATGTCTAAAACACCAAAAGCAACGGCAGCAAAAGCCAAAATTGACAAATGGGATCTCATTAAACTAAAGAGCTTCTGCACAGCAAAAGAAACTACCATCAGAGTGAACAGGCAACCTATAGAATGGGAGAAAATTTTTGCAATCTACTCATCTGACAAAGGGCTAATATCCAGAACCTACAAAGAACTCAAACAAATTTACAAGAAAAAAACAAACAACCCCATCAAAAAGTGGGCAAAGGATATGAACAGACATTTCTGAAAAGAAGACATTCATACAGCCAACAGACACATGAAAAAATGCTCATCATCACTGGCCATCAGAGAAATGCAAATCAAAACCACAATGAGATATCATCTCACACCAGTTAGAATGGCGATCATTAAAAAGTCAGGAAACAACAGGTGCTGGAGAGGATGTGGAGAAATAGGAACACTTTTACACTGTTGGTGGGATTGTAAACTAGTTCAACCATTATGGAAAACAGTATGGCGATTCCTCAAGGATCCAGAACTAGATGTACCATATGACCCAGCCATCCCATTACTGGGTATATACCCAAAGGATTATAAATCATGCTGCTATAAAGACACATGCACATGTATGTTTATTGCGGCACTATTCACAATAGCAAAGACTTGGAATCAACCCAAATGTCCATCAGTGACAGATTGGATTAAGAAAATGTAGCACATATACACCATGGAATACTATGCAGCCATAAAAAAGGATGAGTTTGTGTCCTTTGTAGGGACATGGATGCAGCTGGAAACCATCATTCTTAGCAAATTATCACAAGAACAGAAAACCAAACACTGCATGTTCTCACTCATAGGTGGGAACTGAACAATGAGATCACTTGGACTCGGGAAGGGGAACATCACACACCGGGGCCTATCATGGGGAGGGGGGAAGGGGGAGGGTTTGCACTGGGAGTTATACCTGATGTAAATGACGAGTTGATGGGTGCTGACGAGTTGATGGGTGCAGCACAGCAACATGACACAAGTATACATATGTAACAAACGTGCACGTTATGCACATGTACCCTAGAACTTAAAGTATAATAATAATAAAAAATAAATTAATTAATTAAAAAACAAAAAAAAAAACAAACAAAAAAAAACATGGGTTAATTTTGTCCTCCAAAGAACATTTGGCAATGTCTGGAGACACTTTTGTTTGTTAAACTGGGGAAGAGGATGTCACTGTCATCTAGTGGACAGAGGCCAAGGATGCTGTTAAACATTCAGCAATGCACAGGAGAGTGTCCCACAACAAAGAATTATTTGACCCAAAATACAGTAATTGTTGAGGCTGAGAAACCCTGCTATAAACCAAGATCACCTAAGTTAGTTTTTGTAGATCCCGGCTATTTCCTGATTAGATCTCAGAAAAGTTTCTTGCACTGTACAGTTCAATTAAAAAATGGAACTGAATAAAGCACCTGGGGAGAATTTAGTCTCCAGGTTGATTAATAATTGTTTTGAAATGTAAGCTTTGAAATCTTTCTAGATTTGTTATTAACTGTTTTAGCAAGGTCCTTTTTGATTATATCTAACGTATATTTATTCCATATTCAAAAAGATGACTTTGTTGACAGCTTAATATAACCTTTACTGCCTAAAAATACTCACTTATTGAACAGCAACTCTGGGTTGTTCAGACAAAGGGTCTTAATTCATTTTGTGTCGTTTTAACAGAATATGTGAGACACAATAAATTATAATGAGCAGAAATTTATTTCTTACCATTCTTGCAGGTTGCAAAGTCCAAGATCAAGGAAATGGGATCTTATGAGGGCCCTCTGCCATGAGGGTCACATGGCAAAAGGGCAAGAGAAGACAAGAGAGAATGCAAGAGGAGGCCAAACTTATCCTTTTATGATGGCATTAATTCCACTCATGAGGGTATAGCCCTTATGGACTCATCACCTCTTAAAGGACTTACTTCTTACTTCCATTACGCTGACAAATTGCAACATGCGTTTTGGAGAGGACAAACATTCAAACCATAGAATTATGCTCCTGCCCACCCCCACCTAAATTCATGTCTTCACACACAAAATACATTCATTGCTTCCCAGTAGCTCCAAAAGTCTTAACTCATTCTAGCCCCAGCTCAGAAGTCTAAAGCCCAGAGTCTCATCTAAATCAAATATGGGTGAAGTCCAAGGCACAATTCATCTTGAGGGAAATTCTTCTCCAGCTGTGAGTCTGTGAAATCAAAACAAATTATGGGCTTCCAAGATACAATGGTAGGACATAGACTAGACATTCCCATATCAAAAGGGGTAAATAGTCAAGAAAAAAAAGGAGTAACTGGTCCCAAGCAAGTCCAAAATCCAACAGGGAAAACAACATTAAATCTTAAAGTTGGAGACTAATCTTTCTCAAGTTCATGTCCCTGGGCACACTGGGGTGGGGTTGGTCCACCAACATCTTAGGCAATCCTGCTATATAGCTTTACTGGACTCAGCCCATGCAGGAGCTCTCACAGGTTGGAGTCTCATTCCTGCAGCTCTCCCACACTGTCATTGCTCACTGATAGCTCTACAGTTTTGGGGTCTTGGGGGTAGCCCCATCCCCATAGCTCTACTAGGCCTCATGGAGATTCTCCACAATGGCTTTTACCTCTTAAAACAGTTACAATGGCAATTAAATTTCAACATGAGTTTTGGAGTGGACAGACAGTCAAACCACAGCACTAATGTTTTACATGAGGAATAGGTAGACTGTAGGTAAGGCTATTTCAGCAAATATTATTATTAGAGATTTCACTATTTCAATAAAAATGAAACCAGAGACTATATCATTCATGGCTTTATTACTTATCGTCAGAAATCCTTTATCAG